AATCACAAACTACAACTCCTGCAGAAAACGATGAACTATTCTATAATTACTTACTATTACAATATCATTTAAATGTTTTACTGATTTCAAATATCTAATTAAATTTTCAGTTTTACGTATTCACTATATGAATATACAAACATACTTACACTTAAATTGCTTAAGCGCTAAGGTAACGTGAATGAATGGTTTTGTATAAAGTATGGCTAAAAAATTGATAGCGCCGTTTTTTTAAGAATAATACATTTTTATTGTCGCAAAGAAGAAAATTCAAAGTTCCATGTAAGAAGCGGCACAGTAGAGAGTTCGAAAGCGAAGTAATATTAACCATGTCATGGAAAGTACTGAAATTCCGGTATAGTCTGTATGCCACATTTGACTTGAACGATTTTCTCTTTAATAGATTCCACTCAATTGATATGGAATGTGTAATGTTATTTAGTAAATGAAATAAAAATGTATTTTAAAGTTTAATAATAATACTAAACGCGTTTTTCTACAGAGAGGCTTACATATACATAAGTATAATATGTAAATAGGCGAATAAGAAAAATGTAAATGTTTTTAAGATAGTGTTTCGTGGTTGCCAAAGGAAATCTTCAACTCTCATCAGATTGCCAGCCGAGAGCAAAAGAAATAGCTCATTCATGCATTCCAAAGCATTCTTGTTCATCACTGGATAATTCAAATGTTCCCAAGATAGTTGCTGAGTGAAAATCATGGCGTAATAAATAGTAAAAATTTCACCATGAGTGTGGGCATGTAAACATCAACATAAGCGGAGAAAGTGGGAGGAGCACTTGAAGACCTGCCACTTCGCCTCTGGTGTGAGTAAGCTCTGGTCAACCCGTGAGATCCCTGTCTAACCCGACGAGACGCAATGACCGAGGGGAAATTTCATTTGATGGTCGCGACTCGTCGGACCCGACGATTGTTTCCTTCGGTAGATAAGACCACACTTCGCGTGAACAGGAGACTGCACAAGCTGACCAAAAACAGTGAACCCCACCACCAGCGGTGAAGTCAAGGTGGCCAACGGGAAGGCAAAAGCCTCCAAAGCCATTGGACCCGACGGAATTCGCATGCTGATTCTAAAATATTTGGGGCCCGCGAGAGTAGCATATCTCACCAAGGTCCTGAACCTGTCAATGGTCACTCTCATCATTACCGATGTGTGGAAATCGCAAAGAATGGTCCCACTGCTGAAACCAGGGAAACCAGCCAACAAAGGAGAATCGTATCGCCCGATATCGCTCCTTTCCCCTGTCGCGGACACACTTGAGGCGCTGGTACTCCCGTACTTTATACAACACCTGATCGCAGCGAAGCATCAGCATAGTTTCCGTAATAATAAAGTACACAGCACTTAACGCCATAAACACCCAGATAACTGAACGGCAACCGCCCCTGTCCTAGTAGTATTGGACTTGTCAAAGGCGTTGGGCACCGTTTGTCATTTCACGCTGCTAGAAGATATTGAGGCACCCTCTTTCCTATAGGGACTCAAGCGGTGGTCGGCGAATTATATGAGCTATTAAAACCTAAAATTAAGCAAGGGGTTACACAGGGTGCTGTCCTCTCCCGCTTACGGTTTAACTTCTACATTTCGAAGCTCCTTCAGCTACCGGAGGAAATTTTCCTGATCTCATACGCTGACGACTGCTCGATACTGCCGTCCGGAAATGGAATTTATGACCTCTGTTTAAAAGAAAGCGGATATCTCCGAATTTTCTCGCTTCTTCACTGCAAGGAGCCTAGGCATGCCCGCCCGAACATTTTAGGGGTTACCTTTGATTGCCTACTCTCCTTCGCCGCGCACACGACCGCAGTTGTCAACAGAGTACAGAGCCGCAAGGCCCTTAAGTCGCTCGCCGGCAACACCTTGGGCAAAGACTAAGAAGCATTTCTGGCCGTTCTCACACCTCGGGTCTACGTAACCGGAACGACCCAGATTTATATTTAGCCACTCTGTCACCAGCACCACTCCCCAAAAACTCTTTGGCGAATCTAAATGCTGTTACAACAACAGCAAGCATTGCTGGCAACATAACAGCAATTACCCGGCCGGTTCTGAAAAATGCGGCGCCTGTCTGGTCGTTGTACGAAGCTGCAGACTTATCAGAACACCGCACACCGGACAGTAACAGGATGCCTTCTGGTGTCGCCTGACCTCCGCCTGCACAGCAAGGCCCAAATGCTTCCCGTAAGGGAGCATAAAAAATGGTCAGCAAGCAGTTTCTGGTGGAATGTCACAGACGTGAGCACCCCAAGAGAACTTTGCTCGAGGACAACGCTGACATATATTGACCAACCTCTGGACCCGGCGGCATTTACAGGGAGTCGGTCTCCACCTTCCACGACTCTCGTACTATGAATTCCGTGATCGGGGTCCAATCACCATTTATATGAGACACGGAGCTTCGACAGCCATCTTTACAGCTACCTGTCCAGACTCAACTCCAATGAGTGTCCGGCATGTGGAGACTCCCCGCACGACACCAACCCCCTCTTCACATGCGAGTTCAATCACACTCAAGTAATATCCCTCTCTCTTTAGTACGGCCCGTCGAAATTGCCCGTTTCCTGGGCCGATTTTTAATTGAGTTTGACGACAATGATTGATGGACAAAATGAAATAGGCGGGGCTTAGTAGCGCCGCTACAAAAACCACAACTTGTCAACAGTTGTGATTTCAGAAATTACTACAAATATTTCTCATGATTAAAGAGTTTCTTTTGTAGAAGGAGCGCTCAACTTGGCAGCAGGCGTCGTCAAGTGGTGTCTAGGGATTGGACGAGCCTAAGACCGAAAAAGTGGGTGACATCGTAGGGTGCACTTCATAGTGCTTCCTCTATTAGGGTCGCCGGGTTGGAGGTGCATGCAAAGGGGTGATGGGTATCACGAAGACCTGCAGGGCAGATGTTTGCCACTTCCGTTGAGTTCGAGGCACCACCCAGAACAGAGCTGTTATAGGTGGCTTGGAAGTTCTGTTTCTTCAATGCAGATGAGCGCTGGTTGGCCTCCTAGCACGTTATAGTCTTCTATAAAGTTCGTTCAGACAGTACCGCTAAGGACGTTGTTGGGCGGTGGTCTGCATCGCCTCTCATTGAAGAGAAAGCGATGTCTGTTCTCCAGATGTACAAATGCCGCCTCACGGGTCCATCCGTATAGCGCACGTGGTTGTCTCCAGCTAGTGGAGGAGGGAGCTTGTCCACGAAGGGTTCGAACAGCTTCGGCGAAAGGACCTTGTTTTTTGGAACTCTAATGAATTATACGTGGCTTGAACTTGACATTTTGGAATTTAACTTACGGTTGACATTAATACTTACAGATAACCTGTTGTCCACCTTTTCGATTGGTCGGATGCCCCGCCAAAGGGTCGCAAGGTTAATTGTGTCCTATCAGAACTTCGGCGTTGCCTCAGACCCTCGCTTAACTATATGTCTGGTTCAATGCTGTGTTGGTGCTCAACACTTTCTGGAGTTCGTGCTGGTTTCGGGTAGTTTGTCTTGGATAAGGGTCGGTATAATTCTCCTGCGTCAGCCCTATCTTCTGGCTTCAGAAAGGGAATGGTCAGTGACATCTTTAATGAGGCTCTTATGTACTCGACTACAGCGGATCCACGCGTTCGGGAGTCCGACGTGGATAAGGACCTCATTGGTTGCCACAGTTTGCTTGCTGCACTGAAGAGATTGCAGAACTGGAGTAAATTACTCCACTTGTCCCTCTCATGTTGCTTGACGCGGGAGGTAGCGAGGAGTGCCAAAGCCAAAGCCAAGCAACATACCAAGCCAAAGACGCCTTTTCAATAGAAGTGAAAGAGGGGTAGACAGCGTAAAGTGCGGCCCTAAAATTCGTTAAGAAAAGGCTGCAATTAAATGGTTCTTGCAGCGATAAAAAATGGAATTCTGCACTCCAGACTTAAAGGTTAGGTAGAAGTTAGCCTTGGTGTAAAGATCACATTTGTGATTAAGGCATTGGGAATTTCATTAGTCGTTTACTTTACAATAAACCTGATTTAAGCTGTGTGGAAACTAGCTTCTAAAAACCCAACCGTACATCAGATCTCCCCCACACACGACCCCCAGCATGCCCACTGCAGGGAAATGTATTGCAGCGTATACACTGGCCTAATTGGACGCAACACCACATCGGTTAAATGCAACTGTTGCCACGGTCCACAAAGCAAGATCGCAGCGATAAACAATTCCATTAGCAGACTAAACTCCGTTTCTGCTTGCGATTTCAGCCAGGACGAATACAATATTCTCCCAATAGACAGCTTTCGTGACTATTTCGGAAGAATCTCTTTCATCATGACAGTGGGCCTTCGTAGCCGGAACGACGCAGATCTATATTGGGCCAAGGACTGTCATTCCAGCTGATTCCTTAAAAACCCCTTTGGGGAGTTTTTATGCTGATACAACAGCAAAAACACTCTTCCAGGACATCTTTGACTCGTCCTTTCCGTATCGGTTGGAGCAGTGGAACGTTAACTATCTGCGCCGATACTAGTCGTCGTTCAAATACTGCAACCCTAAGACCAAACCGCGTACGATGAGAGGCGTTGTCGTCCGGTAGTTAGAGATAGAGAGTCATCTTTGCGATCTTGCTAGATTCTTCACAACCATAAACCTAAAAAATCCTCCGCCATACTCTAAATAACGTGGATGAAGAAGGTCAGGCTAAACCTCAGTGTGAACGTCGAGAGCGTCAATATTCCAACGGTAAATCCACAGATATTGTTACAAGTCACATTCGATAACCTGTGCTTCTTCTTCGCACACACTACCTCCACTTGTAATAAACTTCGCGCGAGAAATAAGGTCCTCAAGCCGAGTGTCAGAAGTACTTGAGATGCGGACAAAGAAACTTTATTCCCGTATTATATACCAGGCCATTGGATGGTAGGGGTTGAACTAGAACGCGTCTGTGTGGTTGGTAGGAATCAATGATGCACAGTTAAATTCCTGCTGTTACAACAATGAAGCAATTTGGACTTAGTTAAGAAGTAACTGGGCTAAAATTTTCCACAGCGCATTCTGATAAGGCAGTCCTCGACAACTGAAGCCACCGCTCTGCAAAATTGGTTCAGGTAAAAAATCGGTTATATTCTTGAACATTCGGTAAAAATGTTTACTTCTAAATTAAGGGTGGTGTTTTTTGAAATCCAATATGGCCGAAAAGTTTTTAAAAATTTATTGCATTCCCATTTTGGATCCGCCATATAAATTTTAAAAATTCATGACCAATTTCGTAATCAGCGACCCTGGGTAACAATATTTATTCAAGTGAATCCAATCATTTTTGAAATTTTTGTCCGCCATATTGGATGCAAAATATTGAATTAAAAAAAACGCAACTTATCATTTAAAAATAAGCATTTCTACCGAGTTTTCAAGACTATTCGATTACTTTTACCTGAACCAATTTTGGTGAGAGGGAGCTTCAGTTGACGAAGAGTGCCTCAGATTTATATTATTTCGTACTTGCAGAAGTAAGCCTTCTAAAAGGAAAAAAAAAAGAACTCTAACCGACTAACGATTATTATGATCCAATAAATACGATAAATTTCTTTGATTATATTTTTTTAACTAAAAACGTGTTTTCACTATTCTCCAAATTTTCCGGAACAAAGAAATACAAAAAAAACTAAAATTTTGAGAATTGTAGGAATTCTAACAAATTTTTTCTAAGTAAAATTGTCGAATATACAAAATTGATCAAACAAAATTAAGATTTTTCGAATGTTGAAAATATTTTCATATTTCGTCGTTTTTGAAAGTTTAAAAAATTTTTGTAATTCTTGAAGATTCAAAAATTTTTGACGTTCATGTGTCAAAATTTCACAAAATTTAAAATTATCAAACTTTGTTATATCAACACAAAATTGTGGAAAAGTTGCAAAAAGTGGAAAAATTTTGGAATTTTTCAAAAATGTTAATATCTTTTGGAATTCTAAGAATTTTCTATTTTTTACACACAAGTACCATAACATAAGAATTTTTCGACAATTTGTGATGTTCACATTTTTACATTTTAGGATGGATTTTAGGATAAATAAAATTCTCAAAATTTTGGAAAATATAAAGATTTTAAAATCTCAATAATTTTGTACATTTCAAAATATTCTCATTTTACCAAAATTTCTAGAATCTCCGGATTTAGATAGTTTTTGAAATTTTGGAAATTATCCTAAAAATAAGAAATCTCAAGAAATTTAATAATATTAATTTTCGTTGTTTTCTGAACCTGTGAAAATATTCAAACTTGCTGTGACTTTCAACTGTGCAAAATAATACAAATTCGAAAATATAACAAAAAAACCCAATTTCCCCTACCTGAGTCCGCCACTGCCAGGAAGGCTTTGTCTTGTTCCCCTTTAACTTCAAAATGGCTTAGTTCAGCTTTTTGTGGATTGGCACTGGGCGGCCTTAATGGCCCCGATATTGTAAGTACATAAC